TCCCTACATGCTGCTCCAAATTTCAGCCAGCCTTTTGTCTCACCCTCTTTACTGCCAAATCTCTTCTAATCAAACCTTTAAACCTTTTCAAAGTGGCATAAAAATCAAGGTGATAAGCAAAAAAAATGTCAGATATCCATTTTTAATCACTCCTGCCCTCTCTTTCAGTGCCACAGCACAAACTTCCGGCTTCAGAACAGCACCAGTTCATCCTCCCTGCACAGCAGAGCATTACTTGCATACCACATTCTCAAAACCTACAGTGACTTCTTTGTCCCACCTGAAATCCTTCCTCAACCCCCCTGGCTCTTTTGGGATGAACTGCAACCTTACAGTGGCCAGGAGAGCAGAGTACCAAGACCACAGACATTTACTGGTGAAGTGTTTCCACATCATCTTAGATCTCGTACTATGGCTTATGTCACCCACCCCAAGCCATTTGTCTCATCTGTGTATGCCTTTTTCTGACCTCTAGGTTGTAAGATCTTTGAGGGACATTATAGTTGCACAGCCTTTGAAACCAAGCTGTTGGGATAATGCCCTGCAACCAATCTCAACAGGGAAGCTCAGGCCCTAGTTCCATACAGTCCTTAGCCTGACAGCTGAGGCCTCCAGAAGTGAATATTTTGTGGTCTGTGACCATAAGCTGTGCCAAATCCTCACTATCTATAAGAAACCAGTTTTGTTAGACAATAATATCTTTCCATTGAACAGATTTGACAGCAATGGAAAGTTTGGAATGTTCTGAAATTGGAAAATGTGAAATGATAACCAGAGGCAGTGTCCACAAGCATGGGATCCATGCCTAGAGACTGCTCAGCTGTAATACATGTCTGCCCCTAGCTCTCAAAGAGGAGTATTTTAGAATCGTATAAAATTTGTTTGAAATGCACCTCTTGGTACTTACTTTATTTTGTGCTTTTTGTCTGGCTAACTTTATTACTCATAGTGCAATTTCTTTTCTTACACTTGAAGAAATCCTTCTCTTGCATGATGATTAATCTTTCCTTCTAAAGCAAATTTATTCTGGTTTTATTCATTACTTCATCTCCTTCACAACAAGTTCTGATTGCAGAATTGTTTCAGTTTTGCACTTCTGTAATCCATCCAACTACCCTGAATGCAGGCTATATTTCTTACAAGAGACACTGTGATAAATGTGATTCTATAGGTCACATTTCTCTTCCGAGAAAGCCCAAAAGCTCCATAAGCAGGTTCTTGTCTGATAAGACACAGGAAAAAAAATAACACTCAAGACAATTCAAGGGCTTCTGACTTCTCAGAACCTGAGGGGGATGAATTTGTGCTTTGATCATATTTTAAATTTCTTTCTGCCTTCAGATGCCATGCCACATGCTCACCTCAGAGGCTGAGGGGACCTCAAGCATCTGTCTCACACCACCTGTCACAACTCCTGAAGCACCATGCAAAGTGCATTTGTTTTCTCAATGTGACACCAGACTTGTAGTTGAAGGAGGACTTTTTCCAACGCTGCCTACAGTGTCAGCAGTGGTGATAGCTAGAAGGTTTGTGTTACAGGTACAGACTGTCCACAAAAACTTTTCAAAGCAGGGTTTCCAGAAATAAGATGTAGTAGAAAGGCTTGAAGAGGAAAAACCCTAGACATCTTCACATATGTGCTTGCCAAAAACTCTTGGGAGTCCCACAGAGGAACCAGATGGCCCCATATGTGATAGCAAAACCAAAGAGACAAGCAGGAAATACATTAATAACCATGACAGCCATCTCGTTTAGAAACACATGGCCTACACATGGCCCTTCCCCATCAAACATTTGCAGTGACTCTTCCCTTCAGATTTTGTGTCTTCTACATTAACTCCAGCAAACCAGGTAAACAGGAAAAGACAGCCCCCAGACACTGCAGCCGTGGCAATAACACTAGCCGTATTTTCTTAGGCAGATATTTAAAATGACAAAAAATGGTAAGGCAAAATAATAACCATTTTCGCCGTGAAGCCCTGGCCCCACACATTCCCACAGCAGAACACATATGTATGACACAAGGTTTGGGTCTTTCCCTGCTCCTGCCAGCCCGGGGTAGGAGGGACACTGTCCCCCGGGAAACCAGCCCTCCGTCCCAGTGCTGGGGCAGGAGGCACCTTGGCAGCCCCCAAGCCCTGTGCACACCCACCCAAGCTCTGCAGGTGGCTGAGGGCGGCCAGCGCCACCTCAGAGGTTGAGAGTGCTGCGGAGGATGGAGCAGGCCTCAGCATGGCTTCCAGCCCAGACCTCAGCTAGGTGGCTGGGCCCCGCTGTCACCAGGCAACCAGGGTCCTAGGGCCCAGGGTCATGCTCCATCCTCTCACACCCAGGCAGAGGGACAGACCTCCTGCTTCTCAGGCTGGGACTGTCCCCAACTGACCTCAAGGGGTTACAGGGGGTGTGATAACCAGGATAGAAGCTGACCGCCTTGCCCACACCACATCCATGGGCACAACAGCCAGGTTGCTGTTCCTTGTAGAAGTCAGTTTTGGCCAGTGGTTGGTTGATCAAGAATTTTCTTCATTGATGCAACCTCTGTGCTTCTGTTTCAAGGCTTTCCTCCACCATGGGTAATGAATTGCTTCAAGATTAGATAAAGATATTACAATAAACCTAGAAGAGTCTTGGCCGGCATAGGAAATAGTCTTCTCACAAAACATAGTGCATACAGTACTTTCAGGTCCTAGCAGTTGAACTTGACAGTTTCTGGCCTTTGAGACGATCCTGGCATCCCAAGCTTTCAAAACATGCAAGATTTTAAAATATTAATAATAAAGCTTAAATTCTTTATTTCCTTTCCAAGCCTGCAGACTGCAGTTGAGTTGCATTTTGAAGCTTTCTTATAGATCTTTTTAAATGCAGTCATCTATTTTACGGTTATCACTGTAAAAACAGGGACTTTAAGAACAAATATCCTCTATTCAAAATTGAATATATAATAGTGATTATATGAGGGGATATCAGGTGGCACTGCCAATTATTTCTGTGAACTAAGCTCATACAGGTAAATAATCCGCAGGATAATATCACCTCTTTCTAATTATCTAAAAATGTCTAATAAAAATCGCTGCAACTTTGCTCTGGAGATAACAGGCTTGTCAGGAGATGTCCCCTTTCTTTCCTACATATTTATGGCTGCTGCCACCTTGCCAAGCTATTACTAGAGACCTTCTTCGTTCACAATCAGTATCAATTTATGTCTCAGCAAGGGACAATCAGCAAAGGTGGTACCATCCTTCACCTCCAGCACTTCGAGAAATTGCTTTGGAAATTGAACTGTGCAAAACCAGCCATGTGTTAAACGATCTGCTGTTAATCCTGCATGTTGGGTACATGCACAGGACCTGATTAAAAGCAAGATGAGTGTCCTCTCCTCCTCCTGATGTTTGTGGGAGATGAAGGCAACCAGTGTCCACTGCCTTGTAGACTGTGGTAATGCTCTCCTACAGTCTGAATATACATAGTATCTCTAGTTATCCCTCATAATAGGTAGATCCATGTCTTCATTTCACTACAGACAGAATACAATTATCTGGGTGAACATACTAATTCCTGGACTAGTAGAAGATCTGCTCATCAACTAGGACTAGTAGACGCCATATCCTATCTGGCTTAAAAAAGTCATCTGTTCATTGCGTGACAGCCAATTTGGCAACTACAAGATTAATCTTTGCTAGAAAAAAGAGAAGGGCTTTCTTTTCTTGAAAATCTTTCCAAGTCTTAAGCAGGAGTCAGGCCTTACTGAACTCAGTGGTTGCAGAGTGCAAGCAGTTTTGTACCTGACTGAAATTCAGGCACCTCTGTGCCAAGTAAACAAACTGGTTTCTACAACATCGAAGTACTGGGGGCAAGTTCTCAATTCTGTTGGTGAGTTTAGTCCCTCAACTGGAAATTACACTTGAGAAAAAACTATAGGTTGTTTCCTTTTCAGATAATTAAGCATTTCTAGGTAGAAAATTTACCCATTCTTCCTGGGGTTTTCTGGTTCTGTGTTTTGGTTGTTTTGGTGGTGGTTTTTTTTTTTTTTTCGTTTGGTTGGTTGGTTGGTTGGTTTTTGTTGTTGTTGTTGTTGAGTTTTTTTAATATTATGGTCCCATCGTTGTAACTTTTTTTCCAGCAGATATTTCAAGACAAGGCTTCACTAGAACTTAAAGCATTTCTACAGAGCTGCAAAGGACTTCAAGCTCTTTAACACTTAACAGAAAATTTCTAGTGGCTCTTACACAAAAGGTCCTCTGCAAGGCTATCTATCTCCTCTCCTAGGACAGGCCTTTTCAGTTCCCTGCCCTGGCTTATGCAAGTCCAATACTTGCCAAATCTTACCTGCAGATGTTGCTTTCAAACTCCTGTTAAAGATGAGGGTGGTAAATATGGTACAGACATCTAAAGTGCACACAGGATAAAAGAATAGGTCATAAATTCAGATGGTTTTACAACTGCTGCAGGACATTTAAGCTAATAAATACTTTGATTTCTAGCTCCAAACTTTTAAGAATTTATTGCTGCCCTGTACCTGAAATAAATTTAGCAACTGCATTGATCACCAGTTGGGGAAAGTCAAATCCCTGCCGAGCCTTATGGTAAGAGTAGCTGGGCAGTGCAGCACCAGCTTACAAGACCTACCAGGATATTAGGTTTGATTAAGCAGGGGAAATTTTGTCTAGGAGGACCTGCTCCCTCCTTCTCCTGTACTACAACTCACAGTCTGAACATGGATAAAGCAAATGCATATTCAACATGAAAGAAAATTTGTATCTCTCATAAATCATTTTCTTCCTGACAAGTTCATTAGAGTAAAAACTATGGTGGGGATTCCAGTAGATTTCCCCCCCTCTATTTACTTATGCTGGGGAAAAAACCTTTTGGTTTGCTTGCACTCATTTCTATTAATCTGTCCATCACAACCTGAATCTAATCTGCTTACCCTTTTCCCTGCATGTAAAATTATGTCACAGCAAACAGGATTCACAGGCCATTCTTTTTAGCATCTTCCTAACTTCCGGGAAGCAAGAGGAGGCATTAGGCCCCATGTGCATTTGCAAGAATTGATAAACCTTTAAAATTTTGACACAGTCTATTGTTGGCCTCAGTGGTGCCTGGATGTCTCTGCTAAGCCTGGAACACCTTCCTTGGAATCACAAAGATTACTAGTTAATAGTAAATGACAAATGCAATCTTTTCTTCCCAAAGAGAATGGTACAAATTTTGAGCTCATAGGATCTGGAGAGAGCTGCTCTGACTTCAGTAGATCTACTTGGCCATATCAGATGAGCATCTGTAATATTCTCTTCCTGATAGACAAATAGAGACTCTTTACTGGTTAATGCACTAGTGCAAGAAATGCTGTGGGAAAAAATATGTGCATGATTCCCTCTAACCATCTCTTGTAAATTCACTTTCAGCACAACAAAAAAGAGCCACATGGGGAACTGCCATCTGCTTATTTTAGCAACAAGGCAATTGGCATTGTATGTAATCTATTTCCTACACCTTGAATGACTGAGATTCACAGTGTTTGTTTCTAACTCCTATTTAGGAGCTAGTGTTAATTTCCCTGACCAAAAATAAATTTTAATTTACAAACCAAAACCATGAGTGTATTTTTTTTCCTGTGACATCATTAAGCCACTTAATTAAGGACCAGCCTAAACAGCTTTTAGCCTTCCTGGTGCTTACCCCTAGTGTACATATCTATACTATACTAACTACATCACCTATTCTCAGCCTTCATTTTGCTAAAGTAAAAAAACCAAACTTTTCTGCAGTCCATTTCTGTAATGGCCCCTACATTCCCTTGGGAACCCCTAATAGCACTATGTTTGACCAGGCTTTTTTTTCATAAACAGCAACCTTCTAGCCAACAAGAGAATTTTCATCAATCCAGGACATACCTTTGCATTTGTGATGCAAAATATCACCTGATTTTTATTGTTCATGGGCTTCAAGATTACCCAGTTCCTTTCATATGGCATCTCAGTGGTCTCTTCACAAGACTTCACCACTTTGTGTCTTTAACAAAGTGCATCAATATCCTCTGCATATTTTATGTATTTTAATTTTATGTATGGAAAGTTGAAATACAGCTAATATTTGGGAAACTTTAGTACTGACCTCTCCTTTTAATGCCACCAATTACCATCTGCTTCTGAGGGTGTCCTCAAAATCTTCTATTATACTTCAAAGTTTTATCTGCTTCACTCATAATAATAATATAACCCCCATTTTCAAGAAGAAGGTGGAAGACCCAGGGAACTACAGACCAGTCAGTCTCACCTCTGTGCCTGGCAAAATCTTGGAGCAGATCCTCCTGAAAAGCATGCTAAGGCACATGAAAAACAGCGAGGTGGTTGGTGACAGCCACCATGGTTTCACGGAGGGGAAATCCTGCCTGACCAATTTGGTGGCCTTCTATGATGGGGCTACAGAACTGATGGACAGTGGCAGAGCAGTTGATGTTATCTACCTGGACTTGTGCAAAGCGTTCGACATTGTTCCACACAACATCCTTGTCTCTAAATTGGAGAGACATCAATTTCATGGATGGACCACTCAGTGGATAAAGAATTGGCTGGGTGGCCGCACGCAAAGAGTTGTGGTCAACGGCTCAATGTCCACTTGGAGACCAGTAACAAGTGGTGTCCCTCAGGGATTGGTGTTGGGACCTGTGTTGTTCAACATCTTTGTCGGTGACATGGACAGTGGGATTGAGTGTGCCCTCAGCAAGTTTGCTGATGACACCAAGCTGTGTGGCTCGGTTGATACGCTGGAGGGAAGAGATGCCATCCAGAGGGACCTGGACACGCTTGTGAGGTGGTCAACGCCAACCTACACCTGGGTTGGGGCAATCCCAGG